GGAATTTGGGTTTCAACTTTTTTTCTTGCAATATAGGGAATGCACAATCATATAACTTCTTAAATTCACCTAAAAACTTGCTGGAAGCAGTGTCCGCGCATTCTTCTAAGAAAATGACTGTCAAATTAATTCTCTCAGCGAGTTCTTGAAATATGCAAAGTGTGGTTTCGTTTATTTTTCGGTAGCAGTAATTAATTGTACCAAATGCTTTGCCTTGTTATTCTGGTTGATAGCGATATCACAATTGAATATCCGTAGGCCAGAATGAGGTCTATGATACCTGTAGTGTGAGACTCATTTTTAAGTGTGACGATATTTATGTCGTCCATAACCATAAAAGAGCGCGCCTTGAATACAACGGCAAAATATTGAGGCAAATAAAAAGGCGTTTGTATAGGCTCCTGTCAAGCCCCGGAGCTCAGTGAAGGTTTCCTCGTGTACTTAACCGATCAGTAAAGACCCACCTGGATGTTTTCGCGCCCGAACGTCGAGTGTTTCGATACGTAGATGATGATCTTGTTATACAACCAACCTCCATCTCTTCACGGACCATTTGGGAAGCATTCAATTCAAGCTCACCGGGTCTTAAGTTTACGAGTGAAGAGCCAACAGATGATGGGCTGCAGGATCTGGGTATAAGACTTCATCATCAACCTCAATGCACCTGCTGGAGTTTCTAGCAACGATCCAAAAAAACAGTTCTCCCTTTCTGCAGTAACCACTCTAAGTTGACGAATCGTGGAATCATTCGAACCCTGTTTGCTACTTCCTGTTCAAAATCCTGTTCCCACCTCTGATCAGCAAGCATACAACGTAAACATGATCGAGTGCTCCAAGCCTGGTACCTAGCAGACCTCCTCACTACCCTTCAGCGTGTCATCACAAACCCGAACCGTCCTTCTTCTAACAACAAAGGATTCGGACACACACCTCCGGCCTACATTGCATAGGTGCATAACACCACCCACTGCCTGAAGTGCCTCGCAGCTCCGTTCGACGCGAAGGTGGTCTTCTCATAGAGTATGAAGCTAAAACAAATGTGCCAAAAGGTGAATAACGAATGTCGTCCACGAGAATGTACCATCAAGCTAAAGTTAAATGCCAAATAAAAGCCAATTTATTTTACTCCGCTGAGTTGTGGCAGCCAATACATTGGCTAAACAAGACGATGTCCGTACGTTCGCCTCAGGGAACACTTTATAGAATTCAACAAGGCGTCATCCGACTCCTACCATCCAGTTGTTGCGCACGCCCGCGCCTGCCATGATTGCACCCCTAGTTATGAAAATATTATGCGGCTTGGCTCACACAAGGACAAATATGGGCGAAAAATAATTGAAGCATTTCAGATAAAAGACACCACAGACAATGTGTCAGAACTTTCGTTGTCGTTATTGACAAAAGAGCTTAAATTTGTAACACCAGGGATATCATAAAAACAGCCTCTTCAAATTGTGTTCTTTTTCAGGGAGTAAAATACAGTTATCTTTATCCTTATCTTTTTTTATTGTTTTCTTTTTTCTTCGAGTCCTCTGTGACCAAAGTGGCTTCGGTAGTGCGATGGGCATCATATAATTTTCGTTGCTCGTTGAAAGAACTGTGGTTGTCTGTCCCTCGTCCATTTCAGTGTTTTTATTCGTTCTGTAAGAATTATAGTTGATCCAACGCAATCTACTCCGTGTGCCTGTTTCCACCCTACGTCCGACAGCAGCAGATGCTACGAGCCATCAAAACATATGCAAGGCCATATGAGTGCAGGTGGCCTGGAAAAGAGTGCGCAGCGACGTACAGAAAGCGTATTATGATCTACGTTCACAGATGGCTGGGCTGGCCCGTAGCTTCCCCTACGGTTACACTGAAGACAAAATGGACAATTTCGAACTAATAGTAATATATTAGTTTATTTATATTTTGACTGCCACTCGTTACAGCACAGTGCTCTATTTAAAAGAAATCACGTTTTTCCAGTTTCATAATTACAACTGACCAAACTTCTTTGTTCAAGACAACTCTTGAGGCGCATGTAAAATTTTGACGTTATTTAATAAAACATAGACGCCAATAATCTTGTTTACTCTCATGCTCACAGAGGGAGTTACGCGCTACCCTTTGAGTGTATTTTTGTTCCTTGAATAAAATTATAAAAATGAGCAGACTGCGCTCTCTTCGGTTCCGCCTACTCACTGACGCACAAGTGAATAAGGAGTGCGCAATATGAGCATGAATATAATTCAAAGTTATGCTTCTACAGGTCCGAACAAAATCGTCCCGGACAAAATGGACCGGAACTTGTTGGTTCCAATCGCAAACCGCAGCAAAGATGGTTCCTGGTAAATTTTGCGGCATAGTTTGCTTCCTCTTCGGAGGTTATTCGACTGTTTGTACTCGATGCAAATTGAATATACAAAAAAAATGTTCATCCGCATACTCCAGCAATGAAGTGTTAAGCATTTTAATGTTTATATAAACCTGGACCCTTTCACCATTTTACGGCAGTTTATATGTGCTCGCTCAAAAAAAAACGTTGTGAATCGCTTTATGCTGTTGGCTCTCCAGTGCCCATTTGGAGTCCCGAAAGAAAAAAAAAAACTTGTGACTTTAATCGCTGGTTTGAATGTGTGCGCATCATGAACATATTGGTTGGGTATCGACATCAATCCAGTGATCTTCCTTCTGCACTGCAGTAAAGAAACTTCGGCAAGAAAACATGATAAAAAGGAAGTAAACCAAGAGTGCAAACGACCTGGTTCAATGCTGAAATAATAAACCCAGGGGTAGGATAAAAACGGCGCGGACGACACAAAGCTAAGTGCAGTGATTGACCTGAATAAAGAAGAAGCTACTAGAGCGAAGTTTAACAACGAAATTCGCTGTGCAAGAAGTTCTAGCAACACACCAGCGCGTATTCTTCAGCACCAAACTCCATGCAACGAACGAGCGACGAAGGCCGCAAAAGAGAATACATGATGGGAAGGTGTCAGTTGCTGAGTGACTCCATTTGCAAGCAACCGACACACTTGCGAATGCTGAAAACCTGAGCACACTACCCACGCAGGACCCCATTAGTAAATAGGGTGTTCACAAAATATGTTTCGACTGTTTGAAAGCGGTTATAACTTCGAAGCCAGTCGGAAATATGAAGCAGTTCATTGACTATCTCATGCATCGCGGCAGCCGTTGGTCCTCCGGTAGCGGCGGACGCCGGGCGAAAAAAATGTAGGTTGCATAGACTGGCAGCAAAAACCCGTCATCCGAGCCCACCGCGAGCGCCAGACCTGCATGGGGAGCTGCAAGCTACTTGTTTGTTCCGGGAGAACACTGCGCCATATACCAAAAAGGCTACAATTTTAACGCTGCTGGATCCCCCTTTACCGCAACTATCATTAGCGATAGGGCGAGGGTATCACTGTTGTACTCGCCCTTTCTCGGCGCCGCAGTCACGTGCGAAAAACGCGCGCATGCTCCGTTTTTTTAGGGAACAGGACGCTCGTCCAGTACACACTCAGTACATCTGATGCTGTAAAATGTTCAAGGAGCGTTAATTTCTCTCCACCAACCTCACCTTCCAAGCGTAGACTGACGAGACGGAACGGGCAACACTGCACTCTACGAGCTGCACAGCCCACAAACAGCAACAGCGCAGCGGAACCGGTATCGCTCAGTTCCTTTGGAAGGCTAAGGGGCCGCTGCAACTCGGGGCCGCTGCAACTCGGGCAAACTCACGAGCAAAAATAGTATTTACTCCCATTTGTCTCTATATTTTTCTTCCTGTAGTTCCGCTTGTTGTAGGTTTGATATCCCACCATCCAAGAATTTATTGTCACTGTAGTATGTTTTCCTCTTAGCGGAAAACAAACAGCGCAAGGACAAGGACAGAGTAGAAGGCGGTAGACACACACAGCGCTGTTCTGCCTTCTACTCTGTCCTTGTCCTTGCGCTGTTCGTTTTCCGCTAATATGAATGACCAACTAGCCCAATCGTCAACACTAATGTTTTCCTCGTCACTGTGGTGAGAGGGGTTTCAGACTAGTCTGTCGTGTGGGGATGTTGTTTTCTTTTTCCGAACTAGCTAAATCTTTATCGTCAACGACCAACTTAAAACGGCAGGCTAAAGTATTCAACTGTCCTGCCTTCACGTGAGCCGTCTGCATTCTATATGGCATTGACTGCACTTGCACGACACACAGATCATCTTGAAGCCGGAAAATTCACTCTTCAGCATACAGAGCACAAGCAAGACCTACCTTTTGCTATAAAGTTGAAAGTTACTATACGCAGATATTGTCTTTTTTTTTTTTTTCTAGAGAAAGTGAAGAAGACACAATGGTTAAAATAGATGGCATTTGCCTTTCTGATAGAAACGTCAAGACAATTTAACGTTAGGTAGGCTAATATTTGGCAAATCCTTCAAAATTTCTTATGACCACTACGTAATTTCCGCTAGGGAATGTTATCAAAGTCCCGCGAAAATTTTCACTGCTCATTTCTCTTCAAAGCGTGTTTATATATTTCTTAACTCTCCCTCCTAAAAATGTCTACGTTGTGGACAAGCACACCGGCGAGCGTGGTTAAGTCAGCAGAAGGCCTTGCGTGTGAGAACTCGCGCGTGAAACACGCACGTTCAAAAGACACGCCGTCGCGCCCGAGCACTGCCGGAGTCTGCAACATGGAATGTTGCGATCGCATAATTTGTGTCAAAGAAGCCAGTTTGGAGAATAAATAGAACTGTACACTGATTATTGCAATTTAACATCAAACAGAAAAAAAGGCGAAATAAAAAAAGTTGGTTTGGAAAAAAGTCGCATCGGAGTTTCCCATGAGCAACTCAGTGCAGACGCAATCAGCTCAGTCTGCCGGCTTGCACAAATCATATTCCATAAACGCGGATATGTTTAAGGTGGCGCTCGTCTTTTTGCGTGGTAAGGTATTTCGCGTTGACCTGACTCTGCTGACGTGTGTGCGTTCTGTAATATGTTCGGCCTCCGGCAGATGAGACTCACCTCGGCAGCCACATGGCATGCGTCAATGGCAGCGTCGACGGCGGAGTTGCCGATGCCCACGACAGCGACTCTCTTGTCTTTGAACTGGTCCGGGACCTTGAGGCTGTGCGTGTGAACGACCCTGCCCTTGAATTTTTCCTGGCCCTTGAACGTAGGAGCGTTCGGGAACCCGTGTCGCCCTGACGCCACCAGCACGGCGTCGAAAGTCTCTCTGCGCTCGATGCCGTTGGCTAGATCCTTGACGACGACATCCCAGCGACCGGTGGAGTTATAGTCGTCGGCCTGAGTCACACGGAGGACTTCGTGACGAAGGCGTACTTTACCCGTGATTCCGAAATGGTCCGCGTAGCTTCTGAGGTACGCCAACATCTTCGAATGATGCATATAGTTGGGGGCTTCCTTGGGAGGCGGGAAGTCACTGTGGAACAAGAAAGCAGTTTGCGTCTTACTTACGATGCGCTGTAGGCCTGGCAATGCGCAGCGGGCACTCAAATCCCGCGGAATCTTATAATGTGACCTTATAAATTGGCTTGGCAGCGTGCCAAGCTACCAGTTACCACATAGGTGCCCAAGGATGGTGGAAACATCACCTCAAAATTTCAAAAAATGAACTTCAGCGGAAGCAAAAAAAAAAGAAAAAGATGACTAGTTTTCTTTACATACAGCGAATGTAGGCTTGAACTGATTTTAATTCAGTTGCGGTACACCAGGAAGGGTAGAGATTATTAGGGTTAAACTAAAGACCAAAGACCAGCTTTTTGGTGCAAGGAGTACCAGAAATGAAATGAAAAATGAAAGCGGTCGTGGTATAGAGACGTGTGAGAATCCTATGGCGCTGCGAGTAACTCGTTGTCTGACAACGTTTTATTACGCATAAACTTCGACTTTTCACAAACTTGCCCCAGCAATTCTTCCTCGGCAACGTATGTAGTTTAAATACAAATCAGTTCATTTTTTTCGCAAGCAATACACTTGGTACAAGGGCACTGGAGAAAAAGCTGCAGGATTGTAGCTTGACGAGTTCCAGCACCCCCATTAAGAGGTTGCAGTGGCACTGGCAAGAGGACCATGTATATACATACCTATACAAATATAGAAATGCGGTAAAAATATACATTTTATAATTTTTATCTTATACAAAATAAATAAATATTTTATATTTAAAAGTAAACACTTGACAGAGATCTGTCTGGGTGGGAGTAATTAATTATAAAAGGTTCAAACACCAACAATTTTTTCTATAAGGGACCCTACGTTTGGAAGCCAATTCGGCCTCTCCAACAGGGGCGACTACGGCTATGACCGTTGCGGAGCAGTGTCCTTTTCTTTTTCTTCTACGGTGGGTATTTGGTCTTTTTCCCCTACGGCTGTATCCCATCCCCAGAAATCTGTGCCATCGCATGCTAGCGCCATCTCTTGGCGGATTATGGCAACGCTCCCATAGAAGCAATGTATTAAATATAGAAATACGGCAATATTTGCTCAACATCACATTTTTTTCAGATTTGCTATGCTACCCGTCCAATCTCTGACACGATCCAATCCTTCCGCAAAAAAGTCAAGATTACAGCGCATAAACTGCAGGTTCCTCATTCGAGTAAATTATTTGATTCATAGCCACTATGGGTGGTATCAGGTTTGATCGGTTTTTAAAATATATTATTAGGTGAGTGAAATAAATTTTAATTTTATATTATAAATACAACCCTCCCCCAATCATATGACAAAGTTTCGTGATTTGTATGATATTTTGTAATGCGTAGAAAAAACATCCTTCTGGGGCACCTCTCCCAGACGTGCCACACAAAGTGATTTTCAAACCTCCCTAGTTTAAAAATACAGAAAGATACGAGATTTGCCATATAACTGCGACAAGGCAAAAACATCCAGGAAGCGTAGTGTACGCCCTGTCTTCTCTCAAACTTATTTGCTCGGGTTCCTGAGACCAGTTTGTCGAACCAGGCGCATAATCGATCAGCCAGCTGTTCAGAATCGTTTCCTGCATTCTGCTGCTGGAATCACTAAACTACCAAACAAAGAAAGCAACTATTTGTTTTTTCATTTAGAAATTTTATCATGGCTAAGAAAAGGTATAGAAATATTGTTATTAATCATTAAGAAATTATTGACCTTGGCGAAGCTACATTTAGGGCGAATAAAGTGGGAATATTGAGTGATTATTTGGCAAGGAAGCTGACTGTACTTGATGGTCTCTTGATGACACGTCAAGCACATAAATTCAAAATATCAAGTAAAAAACATGTCGGTCGATCCAGCGAGGAGAACATTGGAAAATGAGAACTACGTAACGTCCTCGCTCGAACGCCTTTCCCATCGAGGAGGTTTATTTTCAAGGATATGCAGTTGTACCATGATTGATTTGATGGACTTAAATTTTATCATTTTCCCAGTTAAAGACCCGAATGTTCTAAACAAGTTCCTTGTGGATGAGCGGAGGCCCAAATTTGAAAAGTTGGACGAAGCCGTCAAAACGGAAAAACCAGGTCTAGTTTGAAGCGGTTTTTCTCAAGACAGATTTATTTCCAAGTATTTGCCATGGCACCAGCATGTAGTAGAGGGATGAAAATGATATATTTCGCCCAAAATGGGTGCATGAGCCGTGCTCCAAAAGTTCCCTGTGAAGGCGCGGGTGCTCAAACTTTAAAAATGGGACGAAACCGTCGAAACGGAAAAACCAGGTCCACTTCGGAGCGGTTTTTCTCAAGACAGATTTATTTCCAAGTATTTGCCATGGCACTAGCATGTAGTAGAGGGATGAAAGTTATATATTTCGCCCAGAATGGGTGCATGAGCCGTGCTCCAAAAGTTCCCTGTGAAGGCGCGGGTGCTCAAACTTTAAAAATGGGACGAAACCGTCGAAACGGAAAAACCAGGTCCACTTCGGAGCGGTTTTTCTGAAGACAGATTTATTTCCAAGTATTTGCCATGGCACTAGCATGTAGTAGAGGGATGAAAATTATATATTTCGCCCAGAATAAGTGCATGAGCAGTGCTCCAAAAGTTCCCTGTGAAGGCGCGGGTGCTCAAACTTTAAAAATGGGACGAAACCGTCGAAACGGAAAAACCAGGTCCACTTCGGAGCGGTTTTTCTGAAGATAGATTTATTTCCAAGTATTTGCCATGGCACTAGCATGTAGTAGAGGGATGAAAATTATATATTTCGCCCAGAATGGGTGCATGAGCCGTGCTCCAAAAGTTCCCTGTGAAGGCGCGGGTGCTCAAACTTTAAAAATGGGACGAAACCGTCGAAACGGAAAAACCAGGTCCACTTCGGAGCGGTTTTTCTCAAGATAGATTTATTTCCAAGTATTTGCCATGGCACTAGCATGTAGTAGAGGGATGAAAATTATATATTTCGCCCAGAATGGGTGCATGAGCCGTGCTCCAAAAGTTCCCTGTGAAGGCGCGGGTGCTCAAACTTTAAAAATGGGACGAAACCGTCGAAACGGAAAAACCAGGTCCACTTCGGAGCGGTTTTTCTCAAGATAGATTTATTTCCAAGTATTTGCCATGGCACTAGCATGTAGTAGAGGGATGAAAATTATATATTGCGCCCAGAATGGGTGCATGAGCCGTGCTCCAAAAGTTCCCTGTGAAGGCGCGGGTGCTCAAACTTTAAAAACGGGACGAAACCGTCGAAACGGAAAAACCAGGTCCACTTCGGAGCGGTTTTTCTCAAGATAGATTTATTTCCAAGTATTTGCCATAGCACTAGCATGTAGTAGAGGGATGAAAATTATATATTTCGCCCAGAATGGGTGCATGAGCCGTGCTCCAAAAGTTCCCTGTGAAGGCGCGGGTGCTCAAACTTTAAAAATGGGACGAAACCGTCGAAACGGAAAAACCAGGTCCACTTCGGAGCGGTTTTTCTCAAGATAGATTTATTTCCAAGTATTTGCCATGGCACTAGCATGTAGTAGAGGGATGAAAATTATATATTTCGCCCAGAATGGGTGCATGAGCCGTGCTCCAAAAGTTCCCCGTGAAGGCGCGGGTGCTCAAACTTTAAAAATGGGACGAAACCGTCGAAACGGAAAAACCAGGTCCACTTCGGAGCGGTTTTTCTGAAGACAGATTTATTTCCAAGTATTTGCCATGGCACTAGCATGTAGTAGAGGGATGAAAATTATATATTTCGCCCAGAATGGGTGCATGAGCCGTGCTCCAAAAGTTCCCTGTGTAGGCGCGGGTGCTCAAACTTTAAAAATGGGACGAAACCGTCGAAACGGAAAAACCAGGTCCACTTCGGAGCGGTTTTTCTCAAGATAGATTTATTTCCAAGTATTTGCCATGGCACTAGCATGTAGTAGAGGGATGAAAATTATATATTTCGCCCAGAATGGGTGCATGAGCCGTGCTCCAAAAGTTCCCTGTGAAGGCGCGGGTGCTCAAACTTTAAAAATGGGACGAAACCGTCGAAACGGAAAAACCAGGTCCACTTCGGAGCGGTTTTTCTCAAGATAGATTTATTTCCAAGTATTTGCCATGGCACTAGCATGTAGTAAAGGGATGAAAATTATATATTTCGCCCAGAATGGGTGCATGAGCCGTGCTCCAAAAGTTCCCTGTGAAGGCGCGGGTGCTCAAACTTTAAAAATGGGACGAAACCGTCGAAACGGAAAAACCAGGTCCACTTCGGAGCGGTTTTTCTCAAGACAGATTTATTTCCAGGTATTTGCCATGGCACTAGCATCTAGTAGAGGGATGAAAATTATATATTGCGCCCAGAATGGGTGCATGAGCCGTGCTCCAAAAGTTCCCTGTGAAGGCGCGGGTGCTCAAACTTTAAAAATGGGACGAAACCGTCGAAACAGAAAAACCAGGTCCACTTCGGAGCGGTTTTTCTCAAGATAGATTTATTTCCAAGTATTTGCCATAGCACTAGCATGTAGTAGAGGGATGAAAATTATATATTTCGCCCAGAATGGGTGCATGAGCCGTGCTCCAAAAGTTCCCTGTGAAGGCGCGGGTGCTCAAACTTTAAAAATGGGACGAAACCGTCGAAACGGAAAAACCAGGTCCACTTCGCAGCGGTTTTTCTCAAGATAGATTTATTTCCAAGTATTTGCCATGGCACTAGCATGTAGTAGAGGGATGAAAATTATATATTTCGCCCAGAATGGGTGCATGAGCCGTGCTCCAAAAGTTCCCCGTGAAGGCGCGGGTGCTCAAACTTTAAAAATGGGACGAAACCGTCGAAACGGAAAAACCAGGTCCACTTCGGAGCGGTTTTTCTGAAGACAGATTTATTTCCAAGTATTTGCCATGGCACTAGCATGTAGTAGAGGGATGAAAATTATATATTTCGCCCAGAATGGGTGCATGAGCCGTGCTCCAAAAGTTCCCTGTGAAGGCGCGGGTGCTCAAACTTTAAAAATGGGACGAAACCGTCGAAAC